TCCCCCTCACATCAGAAAAATAAAAGCCTCGGGCACCCACGGGTGTAACTTGCTTTACCAACATACCCTCTCTACCTGTCTCACGTCCACTCAAGTCGCAAATAACTTGCCTTTCAATCCTTGTCTCAAGCTCTACTTCTGGTGGAACCTAAATTAAGGTAAGTTTTTTTCATTAACACAGCCTCTTGCTGACTCTTTTCAAGACTTCACAGCTTTCTACTTAATTTTGCACAAGTTTATTTTGAGTTTTGTCCACTGCTCTTTTCTGAAGGCAGCTGAGAGCTGTCAGACCCCCAGCTCTGCTCTGTTGCTCATATTCTGATACAGAGGCTACTAACACAGTTGGGAGACTGACAAGCAGCGGGGCATGTGTGTTCAGCAATCCCAGATAGAGAGAAAACAAGATGATGCATGTGGAAGCACTCAGTGAACAACACAGCATGACTGAAATATATTTATATTATTTCTGTGTCAGCATACACATATATATGCAGAGCTTTATTGTTAGTGTCTATTTTAAAAACTGAGCAATGTTCTACTTCCTCTAGGGGAGAAAAAAAAAGTTCACTGAAACTTGTACTGTATTCTCTACAGTAGAGAAACTTGTTTCATGAAAAATATTTTAGATAGTTAAAAAATAGGAGGCTATCAGGCATAGTGAACATATTAATATTTCAAGCCTGATATGAGGGAGCTGGTTTTCAACTTGGCTATAAAAGTTAATTCTAGCATCTCAAAGCAGTCATTTCAAGGTCTTGTGCCTCAATTTTCTTTCTCCAAAGTGAGAGTGTGAGGGGAAGCATTCTCTAAAGGCCCTTCCTACTCCTGACTTTCAATCTGCTTTCTCTGAGCACAAGGCTTCTATTTTATGTAGAAATATCTGCTACTAATGGCTGGATTGGGAAATGATCAAAACAAGTAGTGATGTGCAGCCAATAGATCTGTGCCTTTAACTGACTAAACTGAATCCTAAACACTGGACTCTGTGTGGCTGAGCTTGAAACCATATACCAGCCTCAATGTCCCTGTTCTCTGAAGTACCAAGGCTTTTGCTTTAGTCTCTCAGGCTTCCATTAAGTCTTAAAAGGATGACTCAAGAGTTAATGATTAGGAATCAAATAGTATTTGTCTGTACCTAATGTATACTGGAATGCATTTTTAAGGTTAACTTAACATATGTCCTAAAAACAGATTGTATTTTTCCCTCTCTGCTATACCATAGGCCCTCACCAGCCATCCACTTCAGATGTAGTAGTGTACACAGGTAAATCTCAATCTCCAATCCATCCTCCCCACTCCTGCTTGGTGTCCATACATTTGTTCTCTGCATCTGTGTCTGTATTTCTGCTTTGCAGTAATAGATTCACCAGCAAGAGTCAAATTCATCAAGTCAAATTCATAAAAGCACATTGGTAAATGTCAGGAGCCAGAGGCTAGGGGTCGGGTGGAGAGGGGAACTAACTGTTTAATGGGGCAGAATTTCAGCTAAGGAAGGTGAAAAATTTGGGAGATGCATGATGGTGAGAGTAGCACCATTTGTATGAACTTAATGCCACTGAATTGTACAGTAAAATATGGCTGAAATTGTGTTATTATGTGACTTTTATCAAAGTAAAAAATAACATTAAAAAAAGGAGTTAATGATTCGGAAATGTGAAGATGTTAAAAAAAAAAAAGAAGAAGAGCATTGAATTGGGAAACTGGTAACAATTTTGACTACAAGTCCTTCACATGGCTGAATCACCAAACTCCCAGGTCCCAAAAGATATAGATAAAGACCTGACACATATTCCCAAGTTGTCCTAAGGAAGCGGACACCAACCAGATGAAAACTGCTGACCACAAGCACATAGACTCTACACTGCTTGAAACGAAAGGTTGATGATGCTGGAAACGTCAGCTTGATGCCAACCAATCTGACAACTGTGCGTGAGCTGAACATGCACCCTGCAGCTCCCACCCCCACTTTCTTTGATGGCTTCCCTGAAAGCCATCACACTCACACTTTGGAGTGTGAGCTGCCCGTTCCACCAGCCTGGCATCCTGCAGTAAATGCTGTACTTTCCTTCAACACAACCCAGTATCAGGAGACTGGCTTTACTGTGTGAAGACTAGTGGACTCAAGTTTGTTTTGGTAACAAGGTCAAAGGATGCTCTACTCTGTTTTTTCCTTCTCTCTCTCCTCTTTTCCTGTGATTTTTTTCTTTTTTTCTTTTTGTTGTGCATATTTTAAAAAGTGAAGCAACTTATAGAACCCATACTTCATCCTGAAGGTAGCTCTGTTCCTTTCTCTTTCTAGATACTCCCTGGGCCAGTGAAAGAGACCAGCATGCACTTTTTTGTATACAATGGAACTTGCCAATAACTGTAGATGCTTTGAATCAAGAATTCATCCATTTTTGCAATCCCTGCCATCATCTTACTACTATCTGATCACTTCCTCATAGTACCTATTCAGTTTTTCCTTAATGAATATATTCTATATGGATATATAGTCATCTCACTCACACTCTGGTAACCCTGAAAATCTGTCTCATAATTATTACACCATTTTTTATATCAACAATTTGCTTTTTTTACATTTGTCACCCAATGATCCAGCAATGCCTTAGAACTCAGTGTTACTCAAATTTCCCTTACATTAGATTTCTAAGTTATTCAATCTTAAACTCTGAAATTCTGCTCTTTGACTTAAAATTAACCTCCTTTGACCCCAATCATCTGTACTTCTTTCTCTCTAGTCATTCAAATTCAACAAACATGTCCCTGAATGGGTCTCTATCATGCACAGTCATGGAATTATTTCTGTACTGACAAGTATTTCCTTAAGTGAATGTAAATATTCATCATTCTTTCAATAAATGTACCTACTAGGTGCCAGACAGTACAGTAGATGCAAAGAATACAAAGATGAATAAAACTGAGCCCCTGACTTCAAGGAGTTCACCGTGTATAGGCAATGGAGAGGAAAAATAAGTAACAGAAACGGGCATTAGTACTATAGAAAAGCGACTAATGGAATACTATGTGAACTGACATAGGAGCAATAGACTCAGCTCGGGATGTCCTTGAGGCAAACTGCTGTGCTGCAGAATGCATGGGAACATCTCCGCAACACCAATACAAAAATAACATTCTTGTTCGACACAGACATATCAGATTTTATTGTCTCTAATTATTTTACAACAATGCAGACTTTTATTTGTATTTACTAAATCCCTTTAAAACAAATTACTGTGACTGAATCTCACAAATATACTGAATGAAAGAAACCAGACACACAAAAATTTACTCTGCATGATTCCAGTTACACAGAGTTCAAAAATTGGCAGAATAAATCTATGATGTTAATACCTACATGCTGGGGCAGAGGATTAGATGAGTGGAAGAAGGTTCCAGGGTATGTTTCTGATAGGTGATAATATTCTGTTTGTTAACCAGTTGTTACACAAATACATTCTATTTGTGAAAAAGAACTGATCTGTATATTTATAATTTATGAACTTTTCTATAGAAATATAATATTTCAATAAAAAGTAAAGGGAGTGAAGATGTGGAATAACACAGGTTAAAATGCTAACAGTAAATTTCTCTGGTTGATGGGAACATGAATAAGTTTTGAAAAAACATTTCTATGCTTTTGTATCTTCCAACTTAGTAACAATAATCACACCTTATGATTTGACTCTGAATAAAAATACTATTGTTTAAAAAATTAAAAAATAAACTATTGTCCTATATGATTTGGAAAACCAAATTTTTTTTCCAAATCTGTCCACATAAGCATTTAAACAAAAATTTAAAAAGGGAATTCCAAACCAATCTAATTTTTTCAAATTAAATTCACTTAAACTAAAAAACAAAGACAATTCACCCAAACAAATCTTTTTATCTGTATTGTAAGGTGCTAATGTATTAAACAAATATACTGAATGAAAGAAACCAGACACACAAAAATTTACTCTGCATGATTCCAGTTACACAGAGTTCAAAAATTGGCAGAATAAATCTATGATGTTAATACCTAGGTGCTGGGGCAGAGGATTAGATGAGTGGAAGAAGGTTCCAGGGTATGTTTCTGATAGGTGAAAATATTCTGTTTGTTAACCAGTTGTTACACAAATACATTCTATTTGTGAAAAAGAACTGATCTGTATATTTATAATTTATGAACTTTTCTTTAGAAATATAATATTTCAATAAAAAGTAAAGGGAGTGAAGATGTGGAATAACACAGCTTAAAATGCTAACAGTAAATTTCTCTGGTTGATGGGAACATGAATAAGTTTTGAAAAACTTTTCTATGCTTTCATATCTTCCAACTTAGTAACAATAATCACGTCTTATGATTTGACTCTGAACAAAAATACTATTGTTTAAAAAATTAAAAAATAAACTATTGTCCTATATGATTTGGAAAACCAAAATGTTTTCCAAATCTGTCCACATAAGCATTTAAACAAAAATTTAAAAAGGGAATTCCAAACCAATCTAATTTTTTCAAATTAAATTCACTTAAACTAAAAAACAAAGACAATTCACCCAAACAAATCTTTTTATCTGTATTGTAAGGTGCTAATGTATTAGTTGGAAAAGGAAATAGCAACCCACCACAATATTCTTGCCTGGAGAATTCCATGGACAGAGGAACCTGGCAGGCTAGAATCCATGGGGTCACAAGAGTCAGACACCTCTTAACAACCAAACCACCAATGTATTAATACATCAGGAAGAACTGATTTGAAAAATAATGGGAATTCTGGCTCTTCAGTGGCTTTCTGAACTTCATTCTTTTATAAATGTAAATGAGGAAGATACTCTTACATTGCTTTTCAGAAATAATTAATAAAAATACCAATGATTTCAGCCATCAGTAAAAATTTTAACCTAGTAACAAGAAAACATTTACATTGCACTGAATTTGTTTTTATGTCTTAAAGGACATAAAATAGAAAAAAAAGGAATACTATATCATAAAAAGGTGATATTCAAAAACATACCAGAAGAAGCTTCCAGTCTTTCCAGTCGGCTGATTAACCAGTCAAGGGAGCCAGAAAATTGAGCACAGTTTTTACGATTTCCTCTAATTAGTGCCGCTGCAAAAGAAAAAGCAGATTTTACAGTTATGCGATTTTCTAGTTAGAAACCAAAGTAAGTCCATAGTAGGCACAAAATATTGGATCAAAAACAAAATACATTAATTTTATACCAAAAACACATATAAACACACACACACACACACACACACACACACACATATATACATATACACACAAAATTGAACTGACATTTATTAATGGGGACTGTAAAAACACTGCTTATTAGAAGAAATATATTTTTGAGAAAGTAACATTTTATATTCCAAGTAATAATGAAGGGTAACGGAAAAACTAGTGTCCTGGGATTTTCCTCACTTGGGTTCTAATACTCATTGCTTTTAATTAGCTGTGAGACTAAATTATTTAATTTCCCTAGAGTTCAATTTTCTTACCTATATAATGAAGACGTTAAGAGAACATCAGTTTTTCTGAAAATGTAGCACAGATACTAGGAGACACGACAGGTAAGTGTAACAAACGTACAAAGATGTATCATCAAATTGTTATAAGAAAACACAGGGTGTGAAGGCAGATGGCTAATGAGCTTGAAAACCTTTCCCCCCCACATCTCTTCTTTCCATTTAGAGATTCAAAATGCATATGAAAGACTCCAGATACTAATTTCTGCAGTAAAGTCACCAATTTCAACTTTTTTTAACCTAGTAGTGTTTTCTACACCTCTTGAACCAAAGAACCCACTTTCTCTGAAATTCCTATGTCAACTTTATGATATCTTTCAACCTAATTGATATACTCAATTTAAAACTTATGTTTCTAAATCATTCAGTTATTTCAAAGAAAATACGGTAAATATTTTATGTAAATTCAACTCTTAGGCCCATAAGATTGTTCAGAAACTGTGTAACTGCTTAAAAATGGCAAATAACGTTTTTATATAATATATTTAATGTGAAAAATATGTTCCTATAAGAAAAAAACCACAATTTTAAAATCTGGTAGTGCCAGGAGGTAGTTTAAAGAACTGAAGTTTGAGAATGCCACCTGTTCATCTCCTTGTTAAGAGCAACAGGGTTCAATGAAACTAAAATACTTCTTTCATATTTCCTCTTTCTTCCTCCCAAAAGCTGTTACCTGGCCTGAGAGGAAGAAAAGAAATAATGACACAAAAGACAAAAAGGCTTAGGTTTGTTCAACTACATAAGAAAAGCTCTTTTGTGAATGGAATCCCCATAACATTTGTACAATTACAAGGCGATGCATTCAATTACTTAGGCTCTCATCCAGCTCTGGAACCAATAAGAGCCAGTAACCACGTATACACACACACACATACACACATCCAATGATAAGTGACAGGGACAAGTGTGTTCAGGATGAGGCATGGTAGACGAGTCCAACATGCTCAGTGGGACTTCTGCTTTTAACCTGTAAGAATATCTTTTCCTGACCAAGAGCTATAGCAATTGACAGAAAGTATATGGTGAAGAGTTTGAATCTTTATCAAGTGTCATTTGCTTAAAATTTAACCCCCTCCTTTAATTTTGCCTCGGGCTTTTTAAATTAAAGATATCAACTATTTTCTAGAAGTCAAAAGTGAGAGATAAGGTAATTCTTGAAGAAACTAGGACTTCTCTAGTGGTCCAGTGGTGAAACTCCGTGCTCCCAACAAAAGGGGCATGGGTTTGATCCTTGGACAGGGAAGATCCCACATGCCGCACCAAAAAAAAAAAAAACAAAAAAAC